AGTCAGGTGCCAAGCCGTCGTACGCGAAAGACCGAGTTCGATTCCCATGCAAAGAGATTCCTTTATCGAGTATGTCGGTCTTTCTGCTGGGACGCTGTATCCTTCTCAGCCCGGGTAGGCCCTGACAGACATGGTTGACGCCCGCACCTTAAATGATATAAATTGGGTCGGCGAGAGTGTAAAACACTCTCCGTTTTTCAAAACCGAACATTGCACTATCTCAAGAAAAGTGCTACCGTTTTATGTCGTTGTACAGCCCCCCCCCCCCCCCCCACGCCCATATCTGTAAAGGTATCTTTACTGTTTTCTTTTCTATCTCACCGCTTGAAAGATTCTTCTTTGCTCTGTGTAAGATTGCATGTCTGCTGGTATCCCATAAGGTTTCGTATACGGTAAAGAGATAGCCAGTGCTGTACGGCGGTATTTCACATTCTTGTCTTACTGGTCCTGCGAATTCGGTCCTGGCCTACGCTTGTTTTAAAAGAACTCTACTTCTCACTTGTAAGACAGCTCGTTCGCCGTAGCCTGCTGCGATTTCCCGGCGATATCTGGTACTCATCAGTTCGTTCTATAGAATTAGAAAACAAGACAGAGAGCCATCGAGGTTTCTTCAAATGCTTGCGCATGCCATTGCAAGGTTTATTATATCCACGTGGGAGAAACATACTTAGTTTTTACTTTTGTTTGTTTGTTATTGTTGTTGTTGTTGTTGTTGTGTTGTTGTTGTTTTTTTTGGGGGGGGGGGTGGTTGCACTAATTTGTATATTCTTGCATGGTGTTTTTTTACAGTTTAAAAAATAGTTATTGTGTCTCGATCGTTTGTTTCACGGTATATAATATGTATTTTAAAAAAAATAAGTTTTTTTGTTGTTGTTATTTTAGGGGATGGTGCTATTTTCACCTGCAGATTCGCCGCTTGCTTTCCGTCTTTTCCGGTCTCTATGCCGTGTCTGCAAGTCGGTCCGGGAGATATCTCTCGCCCGTCCGCCGGTAACTCCGACCACGATACGCCGCTCTTACTCTACCGACCACGACCCTCCGCACTTACTTTACCGACCACGATACGCCGCACTTACTCAATTTTGTCTAATGGACTCTGGCCCCGCCGCTCGGAAATCTAACGCCAGTGCAGACAAGGGGTTCACTAGTACGCGCTCTTTTGAGGGAGTCTGCAGTCTTCTTCTAACCGCCCCCCCAACTCTCCCTTCCCTTTTTGTTTTTCCTCATCTATTTTCTTTCGTTTTGGCTTCTGTTCACAATTTTCAAGCGTTTGTAATATTTCTCTTTCTTTGTTGTGCATTTTACTTATTTCC